CATGTTGCATATAATTCACCATAAGCAAACGAAAAAAATGAACAAAGATAGTAAACACTGTTCAACCCCTTCACCTCACAAGATATATAAAAAAACAACAACTGCAGGATGATTACAAAAAGTACTCGCAATTCTTTTACAGCGAAGTACCTCTTTAGTAATACCCACAACCCCCGTCACCTGGGCTTTCACATATTAACTGTGGTTAAACTGTTTGTGCAAATTGAACAATATCTCCTCATTGAAAAACCCCCCACAAATATTACAACGATACTTATTTTGCTTGTGATACCTCTCGTGTCGAGTTAATGCAGCTTTCATACAAAAAGATTCCCCACACCCTTCCACTTTACAGCGATTCCTATGTGAGTGGGCAAAAAGAGACTCTTTTGAACGGAAGCACAGTCTACATGAAACACAGCAATATGGCTTTGAAACAGAGTGATACCGTGGAAAGTGTTTAAAAAGCAATCTCTTTTTCGGGAAGCACATCTGGCAGACATGACAACGAAATTTCCACTTGTGCGGATCACTCTCCCTTTTCGCATTTCTTCCACCTAAATCGGCCTCCTTATTGTCACAAGGGTACTGACGGTTCTGACCCGTGACCTCTTGACCAGCGTTCAGCTCGTTCCAGCGGACTCCCACCGCCGCCGCCAGTCCCAGCTGCTGCTCACTCCACTGCTCATCACCTGCAAACAGCACAACATTAGGACTTGGTGCGGTCTACCATTGTCCGCATCCCTCCGCCACTACCAGACGCTGCAGCCAAAGACAACCAACTCATACGACCTGAGAAAGTCTAGCCACCACCTGCCTTCAAGGACGTGTTTTTCCCCAGTATACCGTCATTCTTATAACTGTGAACAATGATTGAAGGTTTTACACGGAAAAATTATCCATTCCATGAGGCAAGCTGGAAAAATAACAAAATTAATTGTAAATACAGGTAATTTTACATCGTTTGTGCAGAAGATAGTTTGTAATTGGCTAGGTACACACTTCAGTTCAGGACACTCTGTACACACTATCACCTACAAATACATAATTGCGTTACGAGAGCAGATGCAGTACATTTCTAAAGGGGGCGAACACCGCACCCCAGGATAATGCAAGTGAGCTGGTGCCGAAGTGAAAGACCGGCGGCGTTACCGCGCGATACAGCAAGCGGGATTGGTCCCGCGCGCTGTGCTCAACCCGAACGGCCCCCCACTGCGGACTGGGAGCTAACCCACCCCCTTCCCCCCCTCTTCCAAACCTCACGACAGTGCACACATAAATCCGGATCGCAATACATCTCTTCAGTGTCCAGAGGCACGGTTTGTGTGCGCGCAGGATAATGTTGCGGGGCGGAGGAGGGGCGGCTGACCCAAACACCCGAGCAAACTCGCACACACACACATACACAAACACACACACGCGCGATCGCGCTCTGCCCACGGTGTTGCATTGGCAGCGTACCCACCAACCACCACAAGGTTGAGGAGAGGCCGCATACTTTCTCGCGCGTATTTCTAAACGGGAGAGATATTTGGCTATACACAGCGAGTTCCCATTTTGCCCCTCACCCCTCGTCCTCTTCCCCACTCGCACGCACGCACACACACACGCGCGCGCGATCTAACGCGTTACGCCCGATTTGCCCCTGCACCCCACAGAGCGAACAGGTTGCCGCTTAGAGTCATTGCAGTTTCCGGACTTCTCTCCCTCCTTTCCCCTGGCGCCCCCCCTCCCCTCTCCATTACTACACTCCCTCCCACAGCCACGACCCTCTCACCATGGGCGGTCTGTGGCTGGCGTGCTGGTTTGGCACTAAACCCAAAAGACTGAGATTTCGTTAGTTTTGCCCCCAACGTCCGTCGCGGCAGCCCGGTTAGAGAGGGGTCGCGCTCCAGGAGGGGGAGGGCGAGTTTCACGCGCCATTAGGGCAGCGGTCGCGGCACAACGTGCGCCGCTCACATGTCGCTCAGGCTGCTGCTGGGCGTTTCGCACTCGACTTGTCCGGCCGCTTATATTTTCCGGCGCCGTGCTGACGTTCGGGACGGCGGATGGCGAGTTTCACTTGCGCGCCCCCGCCGCGCCCCCGCCGCGCCCTGCTCCACCGTCTGACTGCTTGGCTGCGCAGCCGCATGCGAAATCTTGGCACGAGGCGCCAGTGCGCCGCTCTGCTGGAGAACACGACACAACGCGCAGCCTTCTCCTTGGTCCTAGAAAAGACTTGGGAAAGTTTACAGAAGAAAAGCATGATTCGCGTTCGCTTGCCCGCTTACTGCACCGCTAAAGAAAGTTGAGATATAACATACATACTGGAAAATAAGCTGCAAACGATGTACTTATCATGGGAATAATTACGTGCCTCTAGAATTCAATGCACAGAGATAGCAAATTACACATACCTCATCACCGTCCATTGAAAAAGAACCAGAGCCGCAGCGTACCGCGTTTAATTCCAGGAGGGGGTAAATTAGCTCTAGTTGTAACTTTGGAAAAATACTGACTGAAAGTGTGGCACGGTCCTTTGGACCTGAAAAAAAACCTTCTATAGCTGCACAGTAGTGCAGATAATACAATTTTATTAAACAAACACAAATATTACATTTCACCTATTTAGAAAACAGAACTGACTTGTCATAGGCTCAGAATTACAATGAAAATGTTTTCTTAACGCACGATAAGTGCATACCATCGTGGTTGCGTAGATGAGAGCTTACATGTACGACTAGATTTACACGTGTCGGATCGATTACATGGATTATTTAGTAATGTGCTTCTTAACGTGTTTCCTGAAGGAGCTCGGGTCCGAAAAACTCCTCTTACAAACTTCACAATTATATGGTTTCTCTCCTGTGTGTGTCCTGATGTGAATAACAAGAGTACCTCTGGCAAAGAAAGATTTTTCGCACGTATCACACTGATAAGGCCTTTCACCAGTGTGTTTCCTCAAGTGAATGGCAAGACCATTTTTAGTTGCATAACACTTTCCGCATAAATCACATCGATTTGGTTTTGCATTTGCGTGAGTCCTCATGTGAGCAAGCCAGTCTTCCTTCGTGAAAAACACATCACAGGTAAAACATCGGTATGATTTTGCCCCTGTGTGTGTCTTTTGGTGATTGATAAGACAATCACTCCTACTGAAACCTTTTTTACAAGATGTGTCATCATCACACCGGTTTGGTGTGTCAACTGTGTGTGTCTTTCTGTGAAAGGTCAGGTTTTCCTTACTTTTAAAACATTTCTCACATGTGTCACACCGATATGGTTTATCCCCTGTGTGTATCCTCTGGTGAACGACGAGACGATCTTTCCTTGCGAAACCTTTGTCACATGTATCACATCGGTATGGTTTTTCACCTGTGTGTGTCCTCAAGTGAATAACTAAACTGCACCTTCTCCTAAAACACTTATCACAAGTGGCACAATGGTATGGCGTTTTAACTGCGTGCCTCTTGCTATGTTCAACAAGCTGGGTCTTTGACTGAAAGCATTCTTTGCAGCGATTGCAGGAAAATGGTCGAAACGAGCCGTGCGAACGCATGTGCCTTTTCAGGGCCGCCACGTCGTTGAAACGCTTCATGCACACTATACATTTGAAGGGCCTCTCGCCAGTGTGGTTTCTCATATGGCGATTCAGCTTCCATCTCACAGTCCACGATTTACCGCAAACTTTGCACAGCAAACCATCCTTGTTGTGTTCACGCAGGTGTTTCTCCATGGCAGAGACGGTGGAGAACTTCCTGGCACACTCGCTGCACGAGTAGAGTACGGAACTGCGGGCGCTGGGCGCCCTACTGCGGTCCTGCGGGACCCCACGCTCATCGTTGGTCACGGTGTCACAACCAGGAGTTTGGCTGTGCTCTTCTATTGCGTGGTCTTTGACATCTGAGCCACGACAGTCTTCGTCCGCACAATTGTGCTCTTCCCGACGGTAGGGCTCTTGGACAGCTTCCGCATCCACTTGGTCCGGTGACAGCTTGCTGAGGCGCGCACCACCATTCTCGTCCTGATCGTGACCGGCACTGGCGAGAAGCGAATAGCACTCGGTCACAACCAGTCCAAGCTGCTCGCCGTCGATGCCTGTTAACAGCAATTGCAAAAACTATATTAGGATGGCAAAGCGTTATGAAAAGGAAGGCCCCAAAAGGAGAGTGTTAGTAAACCACAAAACACTACAAAAAGCAGCAAGGAATTCTTACTATATTTTTCTTTTATTATGATTGATTTTGTGATTCACAGTGATTTGAAATGTGCGAGAAAACACTCTATATAATTGACAAAATAAACATCTTAACCAACGAGTAACAATTAAACTCCCCCTCAGAAAAACAATACCAGCTATTCTTAAAATCTAAAGTATTAACTATAGCTCGACACCGGTCGGCCCGCGTGTGAACTGGCTAAAATTTATCACAAAAAAATATCACAATTAAT